GATTGCCCAACCTTCCTTCTGAGGAGTGGCTGGTGGGTTTGAACCTCCAGCCTTCTGGTTAGCAGTCAAATGCATTAAACACTATACTACCAGAACTCCTTGTTTACTAATAGTGAAATAAATACTCAGTTTGTATGCACTAAATAACAGTAGTGCTTGATAAAAATTGTGGGACACTATTAGAATATGGACAAAAGTACACATTTAACTTTCAAAAAGGAAACGTTTGTTCTTTTCTTACTGAAAGCAGGTATTAAAAACAAATATTTCACCAATTATCTTAATAATTAATAATAGTATTTTTATTTAGAATTAACAAAGTGATGTTTAAATCGTTTAAATTAAAACTAATAATTAGTTCAGCTCAGATGAAGAAATTCACCAGTGTCCTATAAACTTCCTGAAAGATAGCAATTTTTGTGGTATTGGATGGTATTGATCATGTTTATGTATTGAAACTTGGTTTTTGTGGTATTTCACCATCCCAGTTCTCTTTGACTTTTCTGGCTATGTGTATCATTTGTTAAGATTATTGTCATTACTGACTACTTACCATAAATTCTTCCATGCTTGGTGTTTCTTTCCTTGTATTTTTAATCTCTTGAATGAGGGACCTTATCCTGTCTTCAGTTTTGTTTATGGCTCTATTTTTAGTTTTGGGAAAATGGGAGTCGGTGATATGGGGAGGGTCTTTGTCCTCTAGACTATTTCTATTAGTAAGTTTTAGATCTCAAAGTCTTCTCTTACTTTTCATCTTTATTCAAAGCAGCAGTTTCTCTCAGATTTACTCTATTTCTTCTTCTTTCCTACCATGATGTAGATCCTATTATTTGATAGCTATTATTACAATTGCTACCTGGAGACCCCTTTAGGCTGGTGCTAAACCTGTTTTTAATTACTACATTTATCATATTATCCCTTTGGCCAAATATCCACAATGACTCCAGTATGTTTTACTTGATTTTAAGGATCCATAATTATGTGCTCAATTTATTTATACAATTTCCTTCTACAAGTGTAGAGAGAGGACTCTTGTTATGCCCGTGTTTTCACTGTATCTTTCGGAGAGGTTCCATGTCTCCTCCTTTGCCTTTTTCCATGTCTCCCTTAGCTTGGTAAACCCTCTGTCCTCCCTGTTTGGGCACGTCTTACCTGGCTTTTAAGTCTTAGTTCCAACCATGACTCCATGAAGCCTGACTCACCTGCACAGTCTAAGAATTCATAGTGCATCTATCATCTCTACTTCATTGTTTAGAACGGGATCATTAAATATATACTGGGCTGTTCTATGATAGCCTAGTAGCATAGTGCCTAAGGCATTTGACTGCTAACCAGAAGGCTGGCAGTTCAAACCTACCAGCCACTTCTCGGAAGGAAGGTTGGGCAATCTACTTCCATAGTGATAATGCTTCAGAAACCCAAGGAGGGGTCGATATGAGTCAGGTCCGACTCCATGGCACATAACAGCAACACTGCAGTCTCAGCTGTATTAAACAATTTTTAGTAAAGAAATTGAGATTGTTTTTACTGCTCTTCTGTTACCTGCAGTGTTGGGCTCATACTAGGCATTCGGTAATACTGATGAATCATAAAAATTACAAATCATTTGCTGTTTGGTTATCTAACAGATGATCGAAAGGTAGAGTCTTTCTTAACTGTTTGAGAGATAACATTGTTCAATTTTCAGGGAGGAGAAAGGAGAGAAAAAGGATAACAAATTCCTCTCTAGTTATTGAATATATCCCAAAATATAGAATAAAAATAAGAATAAGGTTAGATATAAAAGACTGTTTTAATGACAAATTAAATGGAACATGGTAACATTTTTTTTTCTGACTGTGAAAATTTGTTCTTATAAAGTCCTTGCTGGGTTTAAAAGAAACTGAGAGTAATTGTTTGTGTTCAGTAACATATCTGATATTAAGTTCTTAGATATAACCTAGTTTATGAAGGTTTTCCTGTTAAAAATAGTATGAAATTTTAGAAAACACATTATTCCATATTTAAAGTATTTCAACTAAGAACTCACCTTTTTGTGATTATTATAAATAAAAGTGTAGGAATGATAATTTGTAGAAAGGGTATTTATTAGCATGATAGGTAACTGAAATACAGTTAGCATATTTTCTGTTTTTTTGGTGCAGCCATTTAAAGATCGTTGTGAATGGTTCTATGAACATTTACATTCAGGACAACCAGATTCAGACATGGTCCACAGGCCAGTGAATGAAAATGATATCTTGCTGGTTCACAGAGGTATGCTTAACAAAGAAATGAATATGTGTATGAGGCACAAAATATTTGTTTATTGTAAAATTTTAATATATAAAATTAATCATTGCTACATATTTAGATTCTATTTTTAGGAGTAGCTGTGAAGTTGTGTCAAAAGCAAATTGTGCAAAATTAAAGCAAGGGCTTGCTGTTCGGTTCCATGGAGAAGAGGGCATGGTGGGTATAAACATAAACTGTATAAAGATGATATGTATAAAAAGTTCAAGTGCCCTTGAACAAAACTTAATGTTTAACTGATATGGAAAAAATGTTTTGTAATTTTAATTTTACTGTTATTTAGGAAAAAAAAATCCACATATATTTCTGTTGATGCTTAATTTTATTTTCTTGAACTCAGGGTCAAGGTGTTGTGCGTGAGTGGTTTGATATTCTATCTAATGAGATAGTCAATCCCGATTATGCCTTGTTTACCCAGTCAGCTGATGGTAAGTTGTATGGTCTAGATGACTTTTTCTGTGACATGTCACATTTGTCAAACTACTTCACTATGTTTTATGTTTTGGTTTCTGTAGTAGTCCTGAGAGCTAGATAGAGTGTTGTCATTTTATAGAAGAAACTAAAATTCAGAATGTCCACATTCACACATTTACTAAGTGGTAAAATCATGAGTGGAGCCTGATATGGTCTAGCACTCTTTCTTCTGAACAGTTGGTTCCTGTGCTCAGTCCAAGTGTGAGCTGCCCTTGAGGGAGTTTTTATCAGTCTTTTTTAAGGTAAAGCTACATTTATTCAATTTAAGGATTGTCGTTTAGTCTGTTTGTTTTTTAGTTGAAGTTGCCTTTTATAGAATAATGATCATAGTAAATGGGGTGGAAAAAAAAGTCATTATTTGCCAACCCAAAGTGAGTCTCCAGATCTGAAAATTTGTGGGTCCTGAAAGCCAAAGTCATGGTGTTAGATCTTAACTTATACACCTTTACCTCACTTACCAGTTACCTCATCATCTGACATTTCGCATTTACAACAATAGTAAAACATCTATTATCTGATTTTTTTACGAATTAACAATGCATGTATGGCAGTAACAGATAGCAAGGTGAGAGGCTGAAGTTACCCTGGCTGTGATGATTATGTGTCAGCTTGATTAGGCCGTGACTCTTAGTGGTTTGGCAGTTTTGTAATGTTGTAATTTGGCAGTTATGATAGTCATATTCCATTTTGTGGTCTATACTTCCATTTTCACATAACACTGATTTTCATGTAATGACTCGATCTTTGGACCTGGCCAAATCAGTAGATGAGAAGGGAATATAATCTCTTTATGTACGGGAGCCTTATTTTCAGTTCTTTTAAGAGATCAAGACCTGGCAACTAAAAATATATAACACAATAACAGGTCAGAAACTATGTTTGTTGGAAAACTCCTCTTTGTTTGCTATGGTGCTTGTAAACTATAAAATTGTGGTGTGATATTGTAGGCTGAATGGGAATGGTTAATACCTCATTTGTGTGAGATGTCTTTGAGTGCTCTCTTAATAGAGACATACTTCAGGTGAATGTGGAATTTCAGTTTTGAAATGCTTGCACATTTGCTTTTTTTTCCTGAAGATCTTTTTTTCTCTAATTTTTCCATTCTCTTATAAGGAGAGTGCCTCATTAATTGTAGCTTCTGATCTCTTCCAATGAATCTAGCAGCCAAAAAAAAAAAAAATCTTCATTTAGTAAGAAGGCATTCTATGGAATGTGAAGAAGTGTAGGCTGCAGTGAGGCCAGGGTGCCAAAGACATTCACCTCTATGATGGGCTCCTCAGGCACACACACATCTTGGGTATTTGAGATGACTTGGGAGTATGGGACTGCCTGCTTGATCTCTGTAACTTTTTGTTATTTACTCTGAGATGAATTTGATGTCTTTGTGATTTTCTGACAATTTCTGTGAGGCACCAGGTTTAGTTATGTAAGCCTAGTCTTTGAAAGTAGATTTGGCATTAAGATGCTGTATTTTAGACTTATTTCTCTCTCTCTCTCTTTTATGGTTTCTAATTCTGAGTCAATTTATTTAGTTTCATACTTTAAAAATATATTTGGTATGGAATCATTAGTAGCAGCCCTTCTTCCTACTACACCTAGCAGAGCATATACTGAAGCATTTACAGTATAAAAATAAACAAAACCAAACTCACTGCCCTTGAGTTGGATTCGACACATAGCGACTCCTCCTTGGGTTTCCAAGGTGGTATCACTACGCAAGTAGATTGCCCAACCTTCCTTCTGAGGAGTGACTGGTGGGTTTGAACCACCAGCCTTCTGGTTAGCAGTCGAATGCCTTAGACACACACCACCAGAGCTCCCACTTACAGCATATAGGTTGTTATTTATATAAATCTTCTGAGTTCAGAGTATTAATAAATTGAAATCTGCATGAAATAATTTCATATTCTTATGCTTAGTGGACATAAAGGAAATTAATATTTAGGAATTAAAAATTTCTGTATGTTGGAAACATTTGGACCTAATATCTGTAATAATATTTAAAAACTTGTTTTCTAATCACATTAAGATGCTTACTATAGATAGTTTAATGTAGTGATTAAGAGTTTGGCTTTTGGAGTTGAAACTAGATTTCCTGGCTCTGCCACCTTTTGGTATGATATTGGACCAATAAACTTAAGCTTTTGGAACCTCAATTTCCTCATTTGAAAATGAGGATAAACCTGTGTTTGTTGATGTAGTGAGAATTCAGCAAGCTGATGCATGTAGCATAGTTCCAGACACATAAAAAGCTTGAAATAAATATCAGAAACTGTTATTATTATTCTACTGTGCAAATGATAGTTTCTTGTCCTATAGGATTTTTCTAAGATGATGAGAATAGATGAGAGGCTCACAGCTACATTTATTTGAACTTAAAATTTAACCTAATTTACATATTCTATTTTAACTCATTTTCAAATTAAAAACTATTATTCCTTTACTGAAGATTGTTTCCCATTTTATTTTTTTCATTTAATTTATTTTTATCTGTTCTTTTAAATAAAGTAAATGTCCTAGAAATTACTTAGTTAAAGAAGGAATTATATAGAGAACTAGGTCAGGAATGTGGAGTCATCCAAAACCTTTACTGTTTCATCAGAAACCCCACACATTCACTATTTTAACAGATTAAAAAAAAGTATTTGTGAATACTCTGAGAATATTTTAAAAAATATGGCTGTAGTTATCTTTGAAGTCTTGTCTTTTTTTTTTTTTTGAGCATTTTATTGTGATTTGGGTGAATGTCAAACTAGTTTTCCATTCAACAGTTTATACACATTTTGTTTTGTGACATTGGTGTCACTCTTCTCACTTTCTCCCTGTGTTCCCCATTTCCATTGGCTCATCTTTCCTGCCCATTCCTGCTTTCTGAACTTTATTTTGGGGCAGATTGATTGTTCTGAGGAGCACGTTCCTGACAGGTGTTACTGTTCATTTTATAGGACTGTATGTTGTTTGGTTGAATGGTGATCTCCAGGGATGAGTTCACTTCCAGGCTTGAAAGGTGTCTGAGGGCCATGGTGTCCCTTCAGTCTTTATCAAACTAGTAAGTGTGGTGTTTTTTATGATTTTGAATTTCATTCCACATTTTTCTCCTTCGCTGTCCAGGACCTTCTGTTGTGATCCCGCTCAGATCAGTTGATGGTGATAGCCAGGCCAGCCAGTTCTTCTGGTCTTAGGCTAGTGAAGGCTGTGGTTCATGTGGTCCATTAGTCCTTTGGACTAGTGTTTCCTTGAGTCTTTGATTTTCTTCATGCTTCTTTTCTCCAGATGGGAAGAGACCACTAGTTGGATTTTTTATATCAGTCTTGCCTCATGACTGGGAGTGATTCTAAAAGAGTACTTAAGAGTAAATGATTAGTTTCATGTGGTCCTTTTAAATAATTCAACCATAAGCCTCCAAATTTTTACCTCATTTCTGAGTAAACTGGTCATGGCAATTTAGTCCATTGTCAACATTGATAAATCAGAGATTAATGGAGCACAAAGTAGGTTGTTGTCAAATACCAAAAACCCACTGCCGTTGAGCTGATTCTGAATCGTAATGACCCAGTAGGATAGAACTGCCTGATTGGGTTTCCAAGGCTGTAAATCTTTATGAAAGCAGACTGCCTTATCTGTCTCCTGTGGAGTGCCTGATGGGTTTGAACCACTGGCCTTTTGGTTAGCAACAGAATGCTTTAACTCTGCTACCAGAGCTATTTTATTATCAAAATAGGTATACTGAATGATCACACATTTCACTTTCCAATACTTTCTATCCTTTTCTGTGTTTTGGAATAATTTGAGTAGGATTGGTGTCAGTTCTTTTCTGAGTGTTTGGTAGAATTCTCCAGTGAAACTGTATGGGCCAGGACTTTTTTTTAGTTGGTAATTTTTTGATGACCTGTTTAATTTCTTCTTTTGTTATGGATCTGTTCAGTTTTTCCACATCAGTCTGTGTTAGTTTAGGGTAAGTAGTATGTTTCTAGAAATCTGTCCATTTTTTCCAGATTTTCAAATTTGTTGGAGTACAGTTCTTCATAGTATCCTAATATTATCCTTTTTATTTCAGTTGGTTCTGTTGTGATGTCACCATTTTCGTTTCTTATTCGTGTTATTTGAATTCTCTCCCTCTTTTCTTTTCCTTTGTTAAATTTTCCAGTGGTTTGTCAATTTTATAAATCTTTTCAAAAAACCAACTTCTGATCTTGTTGATTTTTTTTCTATTGCCCTTCTGTTTTCTGTTTCATTGATTTCTGCTTGAATCTTGATTATTTCCTTTCCTCTGGTGACTGTAGTTTTTTATTGCTGTTCTTTTTCTAATTGTTGGAGATGTTGGTTTAAAGTGTTGATTTTGGCTCTTTCTTCTCTTTTTATGTGTACATTTATTGCTATAAATTGGCTTCTGATCACTGCTTTTGCCGTGTCCCAAAGATTTTGATATGTTGTGTTTTCATTCTCGTTTGATTCAAGGAACTTTTTTTTGTTTGATTCAGATTATTATTTTTTATTTCAATATTTTATTGACTGATTTTTTAAAATTTTATTGTGATTTGGGTAAAAGTTTACAGAGCAAATTCATCTTTCATACAACAGTTCACATATACTTTGTCTCATGACATTGACTGCAATCTCCCACAGTGCAACAGCTCTCCTCCTACTTCCTCCCCATAGCCACCTCTTCCCTGTGTCCTCTTCCATGTACTCCTGCCCTCCTCTCCCGTGCATACACTGCCCTTCTGTTTTCCCAAGGTTGATCTCCAAAGAATATGTCTACCTAATATATACTGTCCAGCTCATATGCCTGTTTTTTGTTTGGCTGGAAGCCACAGGAGTGGGTTCAATTCCAGACCTGAAGGGCAGGTAGGGGCTATAGTTTCAGGGTTTCCACCAGGCTATATCAGACATGCAAACCTGGTCCGCCCGCCTTTTTTTTCCCACATCACTCTCCCACTCTATTCAGGTTATTTATTTATTTATTTTTTTAATTGTGATTTGGGTGAAGATCTACAGAGCAAATTCACTTTCCATACAGCAGTTCACATAC